TATATAAATTTTTCTATCTTTCCTTTCCTTTCTTTTTCCTACTTTTTCTTTCAAACCAAACATGGCTTTAATGAACCCCACTCCCCAGTCCCCACGCTAATGGTAGGTGATGCTGCACAATCTGGATGTGACTTGGCTTCTGGCTGGAACGGGCACCACCTGAGAGGAAGGAGAAGGTGAAGGGTTCCTGGGGAGCTCTCCCGATGGGAACACGCCTATGGCTAAGTTAGAACTAGAGAAATCTCAAAGAAAGAACAGAGAATAAGAGTGCTGAAAGTGCTTAAGCTTCAATACCTTTTCTTCGTAAGAGTTGGAGTTCTTTTATGTCGAAGCTCGGTCATACCTGGCATAACCGCCACCGCCCTAGCCGTTACTGCCAGGGCAGGTGTGGCAGGCGCAGGATGCTGCAACAAGCTGCTATCGCCAGGTACGGACTTCACAGACGTGTCATGCTTTCCAGAGATGGCAAACAGAACGCCGCCTGGCAAGGGATCAGAGCCCTGCCACCGGGTCCGGTAGATACGGATGTCAAACAGGCCTCCCTACAGCTTGCCGAGCTACTATACGTCGGACTACCTGGAGCAGGTTTGTCTCGGTACCGAGGTGCCAAGGTGCCTGCGCTGGAGGCGGTGCTGCCCCGAGGTGTTTCTCCCTCGGGACACTTAGCCAAAAACCGGGGTGCTCCCTTCTTAGGAAGGGAGAGCTCAGAGCCCCTTAGGGGGAGCTCGGGTAAGGGGGAGCTCGGGCCCTGGGAGGAGCTCGAGACCTCCCACACTTGGTGGAAGTCAAGGTTGGCTAGGTGTTAGTTCCCGGTGAGTTGCTTAACCCACCGAGTGGCCAGCGTTGGACTAGGCGTGTCTCTCCCGTCAAGTCGCGGTCATGCTGTCAAGCTGAGCTGTTTATCGAGCCAGGTCATGCACACGTGTCCCTGTGCTACGAGGTCGGGCCAAATCACCCTCCATCAATTGCCCCCCACTCCCCGTGTTGGGGGTGGTGACCCAGCGCAGGGAGTTCACGGTGCGCCGGGTGGATTTGGCGCGGTACTCATGCCACCCTGTCGGGCAACTCGTTGGCCAAACCGGTCTGGTGTTCAGTTCATTCAGAAGGAAAAACCTGGGTTGCGTACAACTTACGCGCGGACGTCACGCGATCTGGACTTCACGGATGCCAAAAACAAGCTAAACTGATTTCGCCTTGAGAGTCTCGCAGCCGGTTTTCTTGAGGACCGTCAAATCGTTTCGATCTTGACCGTTGGCACCCAGGCCCAACGGCTATAAATAATGGGGGACCCTGGTCATTTTCTTTCGCCACTAAGTATTTTTCGTCTACCTTGAGCTCGCGTTTGGAGTCTTCAGCGAGGGTCTTATAGTTCGGTTGCGTCTTTTTCCCAGTGAGTCCCCAAGCTTCCCTTTCTCCTTTTTTCAGTTCATTTCATTCAATGTCTAGCGGGGACAGTCTCTTAGACGAACCCGAGGTGGGTACCTCGAGTCAGGGTGACCCTACCGTCGCCCGGCCTTCTCACGAGGCACGGGTGACCTCGGGTAAGCTGGCGTTCACCTCCCGTCGAGGTCGAGCGCCGAATAAGTTCGGTCCATCTATTATGACGCTAGAGAGGCTTCAACACCTCATCCAACAATTCAACCTGCCTCAGGAGTATTCGTATAGTCTTCCCATCGGAAACTTTCCTTGGGAGCACGGTCCAGATGAGATCGTGATCTTTAGGAGCAACTTGTTTGCGGGCTTCGTCTCCCTCTTCACCACCTTATTCCCAAGGTGTTGAGATGCTTCAGCATCACGCTAGACCAACTCCACCCCAATTCTATTCGAAACGTGGTCGGGACCATCTCCCTTTATTCCGAAAATAACTTTTCCTTAGATGCAGATATCCTTTGTTCTATTCTATTAATAAAAAAGAGTGCCTCGGGCGTTCCCTCTGAGCACGGGCGGACCTACTATCTGTCCCCTCGCCCGGGCTTCAAAATGCTACATAAATTTCCAAGCAAGGTCGTGGCCTGGAAGTGGGACTACTTTGTAGTCCGGAGCAACACGGGGTGGCCCTTCCTTACCAGTTGGAGGGTGGCCACTCAAGCTCCCAGCATTACTTTTAACCGGAGGACGAGGGAAACCTTTCACTCATGGGCTCAAGCCGGGTTCGATCACAGGGACTACATTGCCAAAGGGAAGCTCATTCAGGCCGGTTTGAGCCCGAGTAGGTCTATTTCTACTTTAGTGTCTTGCTTAATCAGCCAAGTGTTTTCGAGCTTACTGACGTCGAGCTCTATTGCAAGTCCCATGGAGGAAGAGAGGATTACTGGTTCGAGGCTCCTTCACCAGATGAAGAAGAGGAAGAAGCGAGCTGCCAAGAAGGCGTGTGTGGAATCCCCAAGGACCCCCACCCCTGAACCAGACCTTCCGCACGTCCCCTCTTTGAGGCCCGAGCTCCCACAGGTTCCCGTTTTGGAGCCCGAGCTCCCTAATGCCCCTCCAGTGATAGACTTGGAGGGGGACTTACCATCTTAGGAGCCTAAAACGGCAGCAGAGTTGATCACGGAGCTAGCCGGGGCTGCCACCGAAGTCCCTAATCCTGCTGGGGTTGCTGCCAAGGCTTCTAAAGGATCGGCTCATCATGCCACAAACACGACGGCATCCAGCTCGGGGAGCCAGGGGGAGGAAGAGAGCATCCTAAACCCCCAGATCAGCCTTGAAAGAAGTAGAGGGGCTGTCATCTCCGTAGAGGTTATAGACTGGGCTGACCTCACCCCTGGTCAACTCGAGGCTCGTGCTACAACCCACGCTATGGTGGTGAGTTCGCACTCTAAGGGTCACCATTTTCCCTTTCTTTTGTTCTTTCCTCCCCGGTACT